AGCTGCTTCCCAGACAATAAGACTAGTAAACTATTTGGAGGCAGAAACTGGTGCACAGTTTCCCATGTATGAAGTAAGAGCAATAATACAGCTGTCTTGCTTTGCCTTCCATAAGGTTATTAGGAATAATTGAGGATTAATGAAATAATTATGAGAAAGGTGCTTTTTACTTTTTATATGCTTTATAATTATGACTGAAATTCTTTGAACTGTATGCCTATTGGAGGGTGTGAACTTTTCCCAGACTGAATCAGCCAATTCTAATAATGAGACGGTGATTAAACAAATAACCTGCAGTAATACAGCCAAACTATACATCAGGACAAAGCACTGAGGACAGTACTTACCGTATTTTTTGCTCTATAAAATGCACTTTTTTTCCCCCCTCAAAAGTAAGGGGAAATGTCTGTGTGTCTTATAGAGCGAATGTGTGTGTGCCCGATGCCCAGGACGCTGCCAGCCCGCCTGCACCACATGGCACCACCTGGCCGGCATGCGCTCAGCACGCACTGCTCCACCCCACCCTCCGGCGCAGGTGAGAGCTGTGCCGCTCAGAGAGCGGTACGGGAGGAGGAGGAGCCACAGGCTTTAACCCGTCGGCCGCACGGAGAGATGGACTGCTCACCCCCACCGCCCAGGAAGACCGGCCGCCGCCGCCACTGCGCCGCCCAGAAGACCACCACCGGCATGCTGCCGGCCTGGCTGCACCACGTGGCATCACCTGGCCGGCATGTGCTTGGCATGCCCTGCTCTGCCCACCCCCCGGCGCAGGTGAGAACTGTGCCGCTTAGGGGGAGTGGTGCGGAGGAGGAGGAGCCACGGGCTTTAACCCGCCGGCTGCAAGGAGAGACGGACTGCTCACCCCCACTGCCCGGGAAGACCTGCCGCCGCTGCTGTGCCGCCCAGAAGACCACCGCCAGCACACTGCCGGCCTGGCTGCACCACACCTGGCCGGTACGCGCTCAGCATGCCCTGCTCCACCCCCCTCTTCCGGCACAGGTGAGAGCTGTTAAACACAGGTCGGTGTGTGTTTTCAAATGGCAACCCGTCTTTTAATGAAGCCCATGGGGAAGTGATGGGGAATGTGCCTGTGATTATCAGGAAGCTTTCCATGGATCCCTCCTCTAAAAACTAGGTGCGTCTTATGGTCAGGTGCGTCTTATAGAGCGAAAAATACGGTATATTTCTCTCCCTCCCTGCTGCCCTCTGTCTTTCTCTTGCTTATCCCTTTCTCTGAAACAAAGCCACTTAATCTTTTATGGTTTGTGTGGGCGGGTGTTTTCTTCATTTCAGAAGACCAGGGCCACGGCGGGGTTTGGGGGGCACTTTCCCGCTAAGTGAATAACTGCTTTTTAAATACAACTTCTGCAAGAATATGTTCATCTGAAAAGCATGGGTCATAGCCAAAAAAATTACAAGAACTTAAGTCAGACAGAGAACGTTCCCTGTCAGTATGATTACCTGTTGCCCAGGCAGGAAAGACTAAAATGCTCGGAGGAGTTGCCCTGTGTTCTCCTTTCTCAGACAAGACTTCTTCCTCTTCAGGACTTTGAAGCCTGCAGTGCAGCAAATGCAGTTACTTGTTGCATGGGCTCCAGTTACCTTCTCACAAGGAAGTGCTGTGTTGAGAAGATAATCGTGTTTTCCCAGTACTCAAAGCACAGTGCAGTATTATAGTTCCAGCATTGTTTCCCTCAACCAGTGGTTCTGCTGTGAGTTGGAATGCTGCCTAGAATGCGGTTTTGTGAATTGCGTGGGAACCTTTTGGATAGGATCTGTGGCATTATTGATAGCAAATGATCCAGATCTCCTCTTCCATGTCCATTTTGTTTGATGGTGCTAAGCAACAGCAGTGTTCATCCTGCAAAGAGGGCACTTACCTGGTAGCCGAAATGAAATTATATCAAGGTAACAGGCAAAGAAGTTGTATGTCAGATTCAGTCCTGAGTGACAGTCTTCAGATTTTGCCATGAAACTAGTTATTTTCCTATGGAGGTTTGATTGCACGGATTGAAAGGGGTTGGAATGGTAATTCCACAAGATCATAGCAAAAATGGAGAAAAGTTGATTTGCCTTTAAAGGTTTAAATCAGTTAGTAGACATGATAATGAAGGTTACTATGGTTGTAGGGCTAATTAACATCTCTGGCTCATCAGAAAGCCTTAAGTGTAAACTGGGGTCACACAAAGAGAGGAAATATTGCTTTGTGGCCAAATGGGGACAAGTCAGTCTTCCTTTTAGCCTGGTTTTCTTCTGCATAAAAAGAACAGCATGTTCACGATGTTCCATAGTAGTAGTGGTTTCATTTTGTTAGAAGGCTTGCCTAACATGCTCTGCCTCTGACTGCTTTGCCAGAGGAGTATCTGTTTATGATTCAATAAAGTTTGCCAACCCCTACAGTTTCTGGATTCATTTTTATTCAGGCACTTCTGTTAATGAAGAGTTCTCCAAAATAGCAAAACCAATCCATCCTGCATCCTTCTGCCTTCAATTAGACTGGATATTAAACATTTGAATCCATATTTCTATGTCCGGTTCCTAATGGATAAAAACTGATAGAGTAGGGGCATACTTTAACAAGCCTATAATATATCCAGCAATCATGCATTCAACATTCTGCCAAAAAATCTTGTAGTATTCGCTATCAAACATTTTTCTGAACATCCTTTTGCCACAGGACATTAAGAACTTAGGTGCATGATTAATTGATGGTATGTGTTCAGGACTTGTGGCTTCCTGTGACCCATCCCTTTGGAAGCTAGGAGAGAATTGGCTTGGCTGGATACAGATTTTGAATAGGTTCCTTTGCCCTTCCCTTCTGTTCCTCACATCCTGCATACTCTCACCTCCTGTCAATTCTTTAGTGTACTCCTGAAAGAAACATTAGCATTTTATTCCAAATGCAGAAAGATAATTTACACAACTGGTAATTTGTTATGATAGTATGCTGTAATTTTTAAAAATCAGTTTTATTTGTTATTTTTACTGAGTTACAAATGCATTGTATATTGCCCTGAAATCAAGAGGATGAAGGATGGCATATATATTTTAACTAATATCTTCACATACAGATCTGACCACATTATATTGCATGCTAAGCATAAATGTGTTGGACTCTTCGGCTTAATCATGCTATGTTCCATAATGGATTGCAAGTCGTTTGGTCCAGATTCTTCTGTGAATTTACCTAGTGCCATATTTAGATTTGAAGGCAGCTCAGGCTCATCTCATCATATGTGCTAGAGTAATTACACCCCTGTATATTGCAAGAGCAACATTCCCACTGTGCACATGTTTGCAGGTATCTGTAAGAAAGACTAAAACAGTTAATAATGTGCTGATACAGCTGGAGCTACAATTGTGAATAAGGCACCTAGATACCATTCTTGCTGCCACTCTCCTGGATGTACTGTCTCTGATGCCTAACCCCTGATATTCAAATATTAAGATGTGTGCAAAGAGGTACCATGTTCAAGAATAGACTAGACAGGCACATGATAGGCATGTTGGAGCGGAGCCGGCTAGAGCAAGGGGTCAGACTAGATGGCCCAGGAGATCCCTTCTGACTTGCTCTGTTTCTGTTTCTATGTACCTACATATGTATGGGTGTGACCAATGAGGCTTGGAGGCGATGCTGTCCTGCGGCCTCTTCTGCTCATATCATGATTGTGTGCACTGTTCTGGTCAAAGTCCAGTGCCAGAACATATATGGCTGGAGATGGGCACCAGGACCAGAGCAACAGAGCTTGACCAAAGTCAGATAGCAAGGTTCAATGGCAAGTCCAACTCTTAGTCACAGAGCAGTCTGAGGTCCAGAAGTAGAAGTATGTATCAGGGCAGAACAAGGGCAAGGTCATGGACAAGCCAAGAGTGGACAACCAGGAGGACAAAAGAGAGTTGTAGTTACTTTAAGACAGGGTATGCTGCACAGAGGGTACATGGCAAGGGCCAGGCAAGATTCAGGAACTGAGCCACAGCTAGCAGGTAAACCTGTATTGCTGAGGCAGCATGACAAGGCAGACTATGGCAGGAGCCAAATGCAGCAAGGGTTCAGGCAAGGTGCAGGAGCTAAACAACACCACAGCCAGCAGAAGACTGTTGTTGCTAAGGTGAGACAGTGAGGCAGGATAAAAGTCAGGCAAGAGGCAGGCAAGCAAGGGAACCTGTGTTCCTGAGGTCAGGTTGCTCTTATATAGCCCTTATCCCAGGGTTCTAAGCTGGCACTCTTGAGGAGGCTAAGTGCTCCAGCAGGGCCTGAACCAATCCTGTGAATACTGAGATGGGTGTTCTGGTTCTGGCCTTTGCATGGAGCCCCAGAACAGCCCAGAACCTGACAGTTGTACTGGCAAATGTTGAAGTGCAGCTCATCATTACAACAAGCCACATAGTCACACCCCTAAGGAGAGCATACAGTCGTTCCCATATATATCACCTGCTTTTCTATTATTTACATTGAGAGTCCAGCAATAATCCTGTAAATCCAGTAATCTTGTAAACATTCCCCTTCATGAGTGCATGGCAGGAACAATTAAAGAGAGCTAAGTTCTACGGAGAACAATGGAACTAGTTAATCTATCATCACTAACATTAATTTGTCTGGGGTCAAGGTGGTTCGAAAAGATTAGATATATTTCCCAACTTTATCACCCTACTGTCAGTCATTGTGTTTGTGCATACATTCCATCATGAAATGAGGAATTTCCCAAGCATATTATATTCAAATAATCAGTGGGCCACTACTGTGTATGCCTTTTGATGCGGTGTAAATAATCAGATTACTTCCCTTCACTCTTCCAGGGTGTTTAGCTTACTTAGCAGTCTGCAGTATTGTGTTCTCTTTGCCATCTGATAATGAGAAAGCCCACATTTCAAACACCCAAGTCTTTAACCCAGAACAAAACTCATCACTGGAGTTCTGTTTAATTTCTGGAACATCTTGTTCTTTACCAAGAATGTTAAACTGAAACAGGCCTCTCTGGCTTCTGTTGATCTTTAAACAGGATGCTATGGAAAAGATGGGGAGAGTTGGGAGAATTGTGCTGCCAAACCACAAGGATAAAAGGTAATGGGGTTTTGATTTTTCTTTGTTTTGTTTTCTGTTCAAACTATCAGTCTAGGAGACTTTGAAATGTACATAGAACTGTGTACTTTGACTCTGTTTGGGAGGCTAACGTCTGCTCCTTGTCTCATTGGATATCCAGTGGGAAAGATTCAGGGCTTATCAAGACCTGGCCAATAGCTGGACATAGACACTTCAGGTACTTCAGCAGATGTGCAGACACTCAGTCCTCTGGATGCTTCAAAGTACAGAAAGTTCTGACAGAGTGAAACCAAGTTGTGTGTTAGATGTTCCCTGCAGCAGCCAACACACTCTGGACAAGTGTGTGTGCAGAGCGGGGGCATTTTGCAGGGCAGAATGACTAGGCAGGAAGCACTGATTCACCTCGTCACTCTTTCTTTGCAGCAGTGCTGTATCTCATTCATTCTCTCCCGACTCCTCCTGCACCCAGATGTATTAGGTGGGGAAAAGTTATAGGAGGAAAGCAGAAACTGGGAAAAGCAACCATCTCTCTTTTCCCCACCTCCGTGACTTCTCTACTCCAGGTCTCTCCTCCACTGCCACTTCCACTGAAAAGGCATCAAGTGGACATCCAGATAGGGTTGGCCACCAAGTATCCAGTTATAAAGGACATTAAAGTTTATGTATGGTAAAAGGCCACCTAAAGTATTAGGGGCTGGGGCAAAGAAAGGGAGGTGAGTTTTCTGGGGAAGAAGGATCTGTTCCGCATGTGCAAGCAGTTGGGGGAGTACTTCAGAGACCTGCATGCTTATCCAGGGGCTGCAGTTTCCTTAGTGTGATGCCCTGGTATTGCTTTGCCAATTAAGAGAGAACAGGAAACGTAATTTACCAGCTGAGAGGAAATGTCATTTTCCAGAAAAGTATTTTCCCATTGCCTGCCATAATATTGGCTATAGAGCCAACACAATGACAATTTTTTTTCCTGTATTCATGAACAGAAAAGAAGACTAAAGAGTCTGTAAGTGCTTATAGCAAGTACAGGAATCAGCCAATGAGAAAACTCAGAGAGAAATACTCTTGCCAGGATACAGGATGGCATCTGGGATAGTTGGGATAGTCACGTTGAATGGGTTATCGAAACATTCATCTGCAGGGCTTTTCCAAATTGATTCCAAAACAACTTTCAAGCTGTAGAATATCTTACAGTCTTAATATATCTTAACCACATTGGCTTGGATCCTAAAGTAACTTGGGGAATTTTGTGGAAGGAAAGCTCCTTGTCTCTTCCTTCTGCTCGGCATGCCCAGAAAGGCCTTTCTGGAGGATTTGGGGACCTTGACAAACATGGAATGTATTATGGGAAACTGCTCAGGAAAGATGGAATCACCCCAAAGTGGGGTTGGATAATAATGTAACTTAATGAGGGTCACAGAAAGCATATTAGTCACTCAGTCATTTTATTTGTATCCATACAGTATGTGCAAAGTTTCCACAACAAAGCGTTATGAAAATCACCCAGTTCATATATACATATATGTATTAAAGAAAAGTGAAAACAGTTTCATAAGAAGTACATAATAAAACAACAGTATCAAAGAAAAAAATAATAATTAGTTATCAATAAGACCAAGCTGAAATACCCCCTAACCTTGCTAGAGGATGCATGGCCTCAGAAGGAAGCAGGGCCAGCTGTCAATCTCAGGTGTTGGCAAGAACAGGTTGAATACCCTCTGGCCTGGATAACAGACGGTGGGCTGCAGAGCTCTTTCCAACCACTGATGGTGGAACAGCCAGAAGTGCCTTTTTGAAGTGTGGCAAGGCCAGCCCGAGGTATCAGCAGGAACAGGATAAAAGCACTCCCTGTCTTCCTTCGACTCCATCCATACTGATCATTCAGTAGCTGTTTGAGTCCCCATCCTCATTTGCGCAGCTTCCTGTGCCCCATGCCACACAGTTCAGGAGGGTTCCCTGGCCCTTGAAAGAGGCCTTTTGGAGGCACCCATGTGTGCAGGAGGGAGAGAGGATAAACGTCCTTAAGTTAACTTCCCTTAGGATTGAAGCATTGCTTTCAAAGAGAAAGTGGCAGAGAGAGCTATTCAAGAAGGGCTACAGCACCACCTGCAGGCTTAGTGAAAGGTCTGCGACCATACTCATGGATTCCTTCACCTTTGCTTTTCCCGTTTGCAATGGAGACCTTATAGTTTAACAGCATGAAAACCAAACAGGCTTTGGTAAAACATATTCTAGATTTAAGTTGGGTCAGGGAGGTTTACAGAAGCACCTCTTTAAAGCTGCTGGGGATTTATACTGATATGTTGCCCGCAACACAGCTACCACTTCCACTTTCTGTCTAGTCTGGCACACTTTTTATCACTTGGATTAAGAAGGATCCAGTGTCCCTTGCTGGGACAAAATAGAAGGCATGGCATGCTAGATTATTCCGAACAGCACTTCCTGCTCTTGACATAACAGAAGCAAATTGGCTCACGCAGGCATCACTGTAGATTAAGAATATGCTAACACATCCTTAGGGGTAGGTCTCCCTACCAAACACAATGGAATCCATGAATCAATTGTGTCCAGGTGTCCTACTTTATGGAGGACAGCCCTCCCTTCTTTTGAAGGTGTTTTGTGTATGAAAAACTGCCCAGGTTTAAAGACGAAGAGCAAAGCCCTTGAAATCGCCCATCAAGAAGTGGCCACCAGGCTGAAAGGTTCACAATCTTCTCCACTACAGTGAGATGTTTGCATTTTTGTTTAATTTAAATTACCCCCCCCCCCAATTTGCACATTAGCATATGCTATATTGGCACGGCCCTGTGTCCTTTTCACACTCTTTTTTGGCAATGTATAGCTGGCCATCCTAGTGTAAGGCAACAGGGCCCTTGAACTGGCCAGAGGTCAGAAGCAACTTTTTTCTATGCCAGGGTGGAAGTTTGCCAGAGGAGGAAGTGGTTGCCCATCTCTTCTTCCCTGCTCTTTCCAGCACTGCAGAGCCAAAGTGCAGCAATGTGCCTGAGCCTAGGGACAGAAGGGAGAGTAGGTCCCACCTGATCTGTAGAACAGCATACTCTGTGGCCAGCTTCTAAACTGCTTAGCGATAGATGACTTCCCCTGCAGCGTATCCCTGTGTATAGGCCTGATGGAGGCTTGGCTCCGCCCATGACTGCCAGTCATGAAACAATGTACATAGGAGAAAGTAGACAGGGCTAGGGCACTAAGCACACCTGAAAGTAAGAAACACTGGTATAAACATATCTAGGACCGGGATGCCAGGACGTGATTCTGCCACAAGATTTGCAAAGCTAATATCCTTTCTTGGGATATATGCATATATAATTAGTCATTATCTGCAGAGCTAACCTCTAGAGATAAATTGCTATCAGTTGGTAGTTTACAATAAAACACTAAATTGTACATTGGCATTTCCGAGCATAACACTGTAATACTACCAGTAAGTGGTGGCATTTATTTAAATCATGATGTACATTGGTGAATATGATAGAACCGCCTAGTCTGTGATTTCAAAGCACAGGGGCAGCGTATTGTACACTCTACCATGAAGGTAACAGTCATATCAATATAGTATTTTAATCTAGTAAACCAAATATTTAGTTGCCACAGAATGAGTATAGACATTTTCACATGTTCGCATCTCTAGAAGGTTGTTCTTAGAGTACATTGCAAGTCAGTGTGATATGGTGGTAAAACTATTGCAGTGGCACTCAGGAAACCCTGGTTCTCATCCACACTCAGCCATGAAGCTCACTGGATGACTTTGGGCATTCACAGACTCTCAACCTAATCTACCTCACAGGGTTGTTGTGAGGATAAAATAGAGAGGAAGATTGTGTAAGTCCCCTTGGGTTCCTCCTCTTCCTCATGCATTTATATCCTGCCTTTCTTCTTTATGTGTGGTTCTCTTCAAGGAACCCAGGGCAGCTTGCAAGGTTCTTCTCTTCTCTGTTTTATCCTCACAACAACCACCCTGTGAGGTAGGTTAGCCTGGGAGTCAGTGATGGGCCCAAAGTCACCCGGTGAGCTTCCTGGCTAATCAGGGACTACAACCCCAGTCTTGAGATCTGATGCAGCACTCTTAATCAGGACATCACACTAGTCCTCAATAGCTGGATCCTGAGGGTGTCAAAAGAACAACAAAACTGACTCACCCTTCCTGTCTTTTGTTGCTGTTACTGTGCCACTACCTCCAATGCTCCTCCTAGCAGCCAGTTGCTTTCTCCAAGAGGCAGCTGATGAAGAGTTGTTCCAGGGCTTGTTAGAAGGAAAAAGGGGGATGCTAGGAAGAATGGCACTGCCTACAGGAGCAACGTTACCTACCCTTTGCCTTCGTGTGTTGCCCTCTCCAGCGATGGGCAGAATGCTTCCACCCTACTTTCACAGCTTGCAAAAGGGGAGTGAAAGTGGAATGAGACATTTCAGCCAAAATACAGTGCTTTCTTTGGGGCAGAGTTAGTGCAAGTTAGAATCAGTGCTTATGTTACAAATGCCATATATTATTGGATTATGCTTTTTTTTCCTCCACAGATTTTACGACAAGAAATACCAGGTGTTTCTAAAACTTGTGCAACATCAGCAAGAGTATAAAACCATAATGCAGAATGTGTAATCAGCATGAAGGGAAAAATCGCTTATGTTGGAAGATTATTTTTCCTCTATCACATTATTGATGATTTTATCTAAATCAGTGACAATCCACAATGTTCCTTTATTGCTAATAAAATGCAGAATACTTTTAGCCTGTTGAGCAGGTTTTCCAGGCTAATGCCAGACATGAATGCAGTGAAGGTTCGTCTGCCTCCAACAGACACAAAGGTCTGCCAGATGATAGTACTGGAACCAACAACTTTGCAGGGGAGGGGAGCTCTGTGGAGACACACGTAAAGCAGCCACTTAATGCACTTTGCAGAGCAAATTGCTGCAGGATCACTAGATGATGTTTGCCGCCCCCTTTGCCCATTAGCTTTGAAATCTTGGGCATACTGTAGCACTGGAACCAACTTTCTAGTCTAAATTGTCCGAGTCAGCATTTACAGCAAATGTAACCATGATCATTCATAATAAAATTTTCTTCCTTGAATGTTTTATTCAATGATTTTAACTTAGACATAAAAATCACTGAACACATCACTTATTTGGAAACTTGTGAGTATAGGTAAAAAAAAAGTGAGATACACACTGAGTATACATAAATATTCACTCCCAGCCCATATTTCTCCTTGACACCCTATTTTAATTCTCAATTCATTTACCTTTTTACCTGTATGCTTTCTGCATCTCCTTGCTCTCCAAGCTGGCATTCCCTTGCAGCATAAAAGAACAGTAGGAATTTCTGGTTAAGAAGTTGCATAGTAGTTGGTTGATCCTAAGTGAAGCCAGTATTAACACAAATGTCTGACTTGACTAATCTTATTTCTTTTGAACTCTGCTGCCTACCCAGGCCACCTTTCATAATTCTTATCTGGGGTAGAATGAGGCATAGCTTGAACAGGTTTAGTTACCCTTAACAGCTCTGAAGCTGTTCAGGCAAGAAGAAACAGAACACAATGGCTAGTAAGTTTAGGAGAGACCCTTCAAAGAAGAACTGGCCCACATGTCTTGTAGAGATGGTATTTTTTCAAAAATCTTGGTGTACTGAAAGCTCCAGAACATTGTAAGCAATAACTATTTATGCATATACTCTTATGTATGCCTAATAAATAAAACTCATTTAAACACAGACACACATTTAAAAACACAGGTACAAAATGGATTACATTTAGAGTGTACTGAGAATTTTCTTGCATTACTGATAATTATTTTCTTCATACTAATATAATCCCCTGCTTTTTAGTAATTTTTCTGTGCTTATCAAACATAGTTGGTCCCCAGGCTTTCTTAAGTTAATATAAGGATGTGCATGAAACTGCATACAATATACAAGCCTTCTAAGGAAAAAAAAAATCCAACAGAAAAAGTAACAAAGGCTCATGCCCAAAATAATCAGGCTGTAATATTCTCAGGTTACATATAATCCCTTGTATTTCATTACTAGGCACTCGCTCACTTGCTTGTGTGTGCGCTCTCTCTCTCTCTCTCTCTCATTTCCATCTACAGTGTTTAATTCTGGGCAATATTATGGGGTGTATTTTATTTATTTATTTAAAACATTTCTATGCCGCCCCCTTCGCAACAAAGCCTCAGGGCGGCTCACAACAAAAACATACAAAATTATACACTAAAAATATTAAAACCCGGTGCATCTCGGCTTAAATTTTTTTAAAATCCTACATAATAAATTAATACTTAAAATAAGTTTTAAATAAAAAGGTCTTAGCCTGGCGCCGAAAAACAAATAACGATCCAGCAATGACTATCTTGACCATGGAATGGCATCCATCAGCAAGAGAGATTCTTCCTCACTTGTGCAGCTTCTCTGTCTACCAAAATTTTTCTTCAAAGCATCTTCTGACCTTCCCAATCAGATTTCAGTGGGTCATCGGGGGCTGCAGTTGGGCAAAGGGGAAGAGAAAGGTCCATTGCTCAAGTGGCACAGTCTGCATATGCAACACTGGATGTCTCTCTGTGATTGTTAAAACTGATGGCTAACTTACACAATCCTTCTGCCTGTATCTGTAGTAAGGTACATTGTAAATGGTTACCTTTGTCCTCCAGGCAACATACGAGTAATTTGTGTCACAAACACGTGAAAATTAATTTGAAACTACTACACTAATCAAAGTTTCCATATTTTCAAGTTTAAATGTATTTATATATTTATTTTAGCTGCATTTGTACCACTGAAAGGTAAAGTAGTTGAAATATCTCCTGGTTGTTAGTCCTCCCAGAAGTCAAACTAAGTACCACAGTTGCTACATTGATTTTATTTTTAAAGAACAATAGAGCATCTCTACAGACTTGTGGCCATCATACTTAGTGCATGCTGACCGCTTTTACTCTTCTGTAAACTCCAGTACATCTGATCTTTTAGCATCTTGTCTGCTAGAAGAGTGCCATTCTGTGTTGCTTCCAAATGGTGGGAGAGTTCAGTATGCGCCGGTCAGTTAAGAAGAACTAGTGCTGTAGCTCATTATGATTCCAGTAGAATATTTTGAGTTGTAAGGTTTGTCGTACTTGCACCTTCTGGTTCCATTTGAGAGCAAATGTTTATCATACATATTAATAGTAGGAATACAACAACAAGGTCATCAACTGCACCCAGGATTCCACAAAGAGGTTCAGGCATGACATCAAATAGAGATGTTAAGCACATGATGGTTTCAAAAGAGCAAACAACAACTCTGAGGAAGAAGATCCAAACAAGGCCGCTCAGTGTGAAAAGTCCTCGAATGGCAAAATTAAGAAGAAGTGGCATGTTGTAAAGGTAATCTGTAAACTAGACACAGAATTCAGGTAGGTTACAAAACAGTCATTGTTTGTGTCTTATTCAGCAAAAACTTTTCAATTGGATGCTGCGACATCTCTTTAATATGGTTTTAGCTAATTTAGCTGGTACAACAGCTAATGCTTCTTCTAAACATATGTTTGGGCAATGGCCAATAGATACCTCTTTGGAGAGGAAGTTATGACATGTTTTTGTTCTGGAACAATATTTAACATATGCTGATATACCTACCTTTTAAAATTATCTACTTGCTTCTTTAGACAGCTAAAGAACTGATATTACAACACTAAAAGAATAAATGGTCACCTCCTATAATGCAGTGGATTATATTGAAAGTCTTATAGTGCTTTCAATATTTGAATCTAGAGGCCCCACCTTAAAATGGTTTCTTATTTGGATAGCTGGTCCACTTTTGTTGACACACTTTTGTATGTTTGCTAGGAAGCTGCATTTTCATATATGTGGATTTCATTTGTATTCATTGCTATAGATACAGTATATACAAATCTATATAGCTTTATTATTTTTCTTTTGTTGAAATTCCTGAATAAAAATCAATCAATAAAACTATCATTTTTATGGGCAGATCATGTTGCTATATTGGATTTGTTAGGGGAAGAAATGTCAGGCATTACTAATAATTAGACTTTTTATTGCTAGGGAATGCTTGTTGTTGGAGTATGCATTGCAAAGGTGAACAAAGCAAAATAAATAACCAGGTGGCAACACCTCCTCTTCCTCTGCTTAATCCTCCCAGGTGTTTGTTTGCTACTTAACAGTTATTATATGCAGATAATCTCCAGCTTATAAACATCTGGGTTATGAACAACCCATACTTATGAAGGCATGGGCTGCCATAAACCCCGTATGACTATCTCTAAAATAAAACCATGAACATGTCTAGGGCTACAGTTTCCAAACTTTTTTGGATCCTTTCTGAAAATTTTTCTTTTTCCTGTGGAACCCTAATTCTATCCCTGATTTTTACTAAGCATTGTGAAGCCACAACATTCTTCCTTCTTTCATCTGTTCCTATTGCCTAAGTGCTTTGGATAACAAAAGGTCAAATATATACATATACTCTGAGAAACATTTGGCTTACTCACGTGATCCGACTCAAATACAAATCCAACTTAAGGATTTTCTCAGGAATGGGGCACATTCTTAACCCAAGGACTACCTGTACACTCCTTCAAATAATCTATAGCTCCATTAAAAAACATGCTTTGCATTAATAAATGTTTGCTGTTGGAAATACTTGGTAGTATTCCAAGAAGTTGATGTTTTAGATAGTAATGGCCACAAACAGATTCAACTATGGGACAAATTTTCCAGAAAATAGAAATGCTACCACTTACAGGCTGAGGCTGTCCTGAGAAGCGCTTGTTATAATCTCTGATGTCATGCACAGTTTGTTTGCTTTCCTTGTCAGGTTGATTTTCACAAGAGATGTTGTACAGAAGAATAAACTTCAAATAAAAGAAGACAACTTTAAGATCAGAACCAACCCATGTGTAAGTTTTGCTAATACTCTTCACAAAAATCACTGCAATATCAATACTTTTATTAGTTCTTCTGTTATCTCTTTGAACCCCAACTCATAAACTTTGCCTTCCAGTGAATAAATTTCTTCTTTTTCTCTCTTACCAAGACCTTTGCACATTCTGCCGTGCAGCCAGTAACCAAGATCAGAGGAGTGTAAGGACCAAGTTTAATTTAAAGCCTGGTGCTGCAAACAGTTTGATGTTTGGTAAGAGTTTCCTGATCTGACAAGTAGCAGATGAGCAACGCTCATGGTTGCGGTAACTTGGATGCAGTTGGAAAATGTACATTTAGAAGGGGCATATTTCCACTTCCTCTCTTTATTGTCAAAGAACAGATGAAAACTCTTACTTTTTGCCTGCTGAGTGGGCAGCTGATTGCCCCTAACCAAGACCCATGTTTCCAGTATTCAATCCAGTAACAGGGACCTAGGAAAAAAGAGATTTTTAAAAAATTGAAACTGTAGTTCAAAGACACATTGGCCACTTTTTCCACCCTTCCCAGAGAGATTTTTGCACACCCATATGGGAAAAAATAGCCTACTCAAAGCATAGAAACATGCTTAGAAAAAGCAAGGAAAACAGGCTAACAAAGGTATTAATCACTGCAGTATTGACCTACTGCAGGCATCAAATGTGCCTGAAATCTCATGTCTAAAACCACTTCTTGGTCTCATGACTGAGTGGTCAAGTGTAGTATAAGTATAGTATCTATGATACTATGATCAAGTGTAGTATCTATTCTTAGTGGTTAAATATTTGATACATCTTTCAGCACTTTTGTTTTAAATTTGTTACTGCATTTTAAATGTTTGCATTGCTGGCAAGTTTTATTTATTTTATAATTTATTTATATCACTTTAAACTTTTAAACTATTATATTGCCTTTTATTGTGTTGTATTTTATAGCTTTAACTGTTCTGAAGTGTAGTATTGGCCAGTACAAAATGTAATAATTAAATAAAGTTGATTGCTTAGGAGTAACAGAGCTAAACAAAAATTTGGAAGTTGCACTAACATTTTAATACTAACCTTGAAATAGGGTATGATATGATTTGACAATGTGTGTGGTTTCTCACAATCATTTTGCAGAATGAAAATTATTTAAGACAAATAAGTGGAATAAGAAAAAATTCAGCTGGATACACCATAGGATACATAATTAGACAGAAGATTTAATGAGCATTTCTAGGGAGCCCTGATGAGTCAGTGATACAATCTAGAACCAAATTACAGGCACAAATATCCAGCAGCATACATATCTTGAAACAAAACTACAGCACTTTTTCAAGGCCTTAAAAAAACCTGTGTTGACTCAATTATAACAGCAAGGTGGAGAGAAAAGAAGGAAAGACAGAGCCTTTTCAAACCAAGCTATTTGTTCATGTCCACATTTTCAAAATTTCTTTGTTTAATCCATTTTGCTACAGAGTTGAACAAGTCCCCCAGGAAATACTCTGCTGGCTATTAGCAATTAAAGGAAAATCACATTGGCTCAAGATCAGCTTTCTTCTCCACTTCCTGGACATATGGTTTGAGATACAGTTGAAATTTGAAACATCTTGGAAAAAATATAGGAATTCCTGATGATAATACAGATTAGTGATCATATAGTTTTCCTTTAAGTCACAGTCAATCATGATTTAAATCCATCAGACAACATGGTTTTCAAATATGACACTTGCCCAAATTTTTTCCTCTTGATACCAAATGCAATAAACTATACAATTTCCAAATAAGATGGAACATCTTATGATTTTACTTAAAGTGTGAGTGCAGGTGGGAGGGATGAATATTGTAAAAGGGATGAAGAAAACCCCTGAGATTTGTATTTGTTTCCAGCTAGTATTGTGTTGATTGGCTTAGCTATTGATTGTTGATTAGCTATTTAGACTGCCTTACAAAACTAGTCCTTGTATAGTCTGGGTATCTCTGATACTGAACATTGTATTGCCTTCTGCATTCTACTTTTGGTACCTTGATAGCAAATGAAGTAATGGGAGGGAAAGGAATTCATGGGTGGGTGTGATTAAGTGCATGGAAGTTCTTTTATAGCAGAAAGTTTAACTAGATATAGAGGCCCCTCTCTGGCTTTATGAGCCAGATGTACTTCATACAGATGTGTTGCAATATCACTTGGATAAATGTGATGCCCTTCTAAGGCAAGCACTGGATAATAGATGGAAACCTACACATAAGATGCTAAGAAACAGAATTATTTTTCAAATAAAGCAC